CCATTTATCATTTATATATAGGAGGGTTACAAAATTTTTTTAGTTAATCTTGTATCCTACCACATTGCTGAAGGTGTTTATCAGCTGTAGGTGTTCCCTATGAAATTTTTGGGTCACTTATTTATACTATCATATCATCTGCAAAAATGGAAAGTTTGATTTCTTCCTTTCCAATTTGTATCCCCTTGATCTCCTTTTGTTGTCTTATTGTCCTAGCTAGAACTTTGAGTACTATATTGAATAGATATGAGGAGAGTGGAAGCCATGTCTTGTTCCTGATTTTAGTGGAACTGGTTTGAGTTGCTCTCCATTCAATTTGATGTTGGCTGTTGGCTTGCTGTAAATTGCCTTTATTATGTTTAGGTATGTTCCCTGTATTCCTGATCTCTCCAAGACTTTTATCATGAAGAGGTATTGTATTTTGTCAAAGGCTTTTTCAGAAACTAATGAGATGATCGTGTGGTTTTTTTTTCTTTCAGTTTGTTTATATGGTGTATTATACTGACAGATTTTCGTATGTTGAGCCATGCATCCCTGGGATGAAGCCTACTTGATCTTTTCTTAGAAATCAGGATATAAGGGAAGTCCACATTCAGTAATTGGTGGATAAGGCTTTTTTAAAACAAACTTTATTGAGACATAATTCACATAGTGTACAACTCTTCCATTAACATTTACTTTATGCAACTACTCAGGTATGGGATTACATCTAAAATCCCAACACTCAGGACGCTGAAGCAGGACAATTGATATAAGTTTGAAGCCAACATGGTTGATGTAGAAAGAGACTGTCCCAAATAAATAAATGAAAGGATGACAATTTAGTGGTCTTTAGATTATTGGTAGAGTCTTACAACCAAGTCATTTTTTAATTAAGCATGGGGTTCAGTATGAGCACATGAGTTCAGGTACACACAGAGACCAGGGTGTTGAATCTTCTAGAGCTGGAATTACAGGTGGCTATGAAATTCCTGATGTGGGTTCTGGCAACCAAACTGAGTCTTCTGGAGGAGGAGTGAGTGCGCTGAACATTTGAGCCACCTCTAGAGCCCCAGCAAACAAACTTCAGACCTTCATCACCCCAGAAGGAAATACTGCACCCTTTAGGCTACACTCTTCACTTCCAATCTCTTCCTCACAAACCTCAAGAGAACACTATTTTAATATATATCTTTCTGGGTTTTCTTCCTCATAGATTCAAACATTAAAATATACTATGTTCTTTATCTAGCTTTCTTAACTCAGTATAAAATTCTCAGTATTAAACCACATATTAAACAGTATTCTATTTCTTTTATATTTATTTCTTATTGCCAAATAATGTCCTGGGGATGAGTAAGTCATACAAAACATTCATAAACTGATAAATATTTTGAGTGTTTCAACTTTTAGTGCCTGAATAATGCTTCTCTGAAGATTCATTTGCAGTCCTTGCAGACATGTTTTTATTTTTCTTGTGTAAATATCTACGAGTGAGATTGCTAAATCACATGGTAAGTCTGTGCAGTAACTGTCAGTTAAAGGATCTATCCCCACTATTAATGAACTCAACAGGTTGATTATAAATACAATCTCTTTCTAAAGAAAAAAGGGGCTATCATATAGATATGATAGGATGAAAGAGTAGATTAATGAACTGTAGCTAGAGTTTTTCTGCTCCTGTCTGGCCCAAAGTTAGGACAAATCTCTCTAACCTGCCAGTCCCGCAGCAGCTCAGACCCAAACAAGTAAACACACAGAGACTTATATTGCTTACAGACTATATGGCCGTGGCAGGCTTCTTGCTGACTGTTCTTATATCTTATATTAATCCACTTCTATAATTCTATACCTTGCCACGTGGCTCTTGGCTTACCGGCATCTTCACATGCTTCTCGTCATGGTGGTGGCTGGCAGTGTCTCCCTCCGCCTTTCTGTTCTCTCAATTCTCCTCTCTGTTAGTCCTGCCTATACTTTCTGCCTGGCCACTGGCCAATCAGTGTTTTATTTATTGACCAATCAGAGCACATACAGACCATCCCACAGCAATGAACCTACTTTTAAAGAGCAACAACTTGTTTGAAATGTTTTACATTGATATAGATTTTAGTTTATTGATACAAATTTAATTTTGTTATACTGTGTGTATATTTCTACTCTTGTTTAAGGTATGATGTTTGTACAGCTCATTTAAAATTGTAATGGATAATTAAAAATAGATTAATAATTAGGCATCTATGATAATCATGCTTGTAACCATGTTAGTAAGTTTTCTAGGTATACATAGATATATTTCAGATAGATAGGTAGTCTTCAAACACTTCAAAGACCTACAGAATATGGCATTTTAAATGTTTTAAAAATTTAGACTTTCTGGACAGTGAGACATGTCGGCTCCTGATAGCAGCAATTTACTTCACAGAGGAGGATGGGCATCAAAGACACTCTGCATGGATTTTATCTTCTTCTTGACAAAAATAGCCATTTGAGCAAGAAACTGACCTTGCCTGAACTACTTAAAAAATGTATCAACTGGACATGCAGGACCCATAGGAAGGTGACCACTAAACATTGCTTGACAAAATGGTCCTTCAGGTCCCTGCTTCACAGAAAAAACTACCAAACATTCTACAGGACACAGAGAAAAGTGACTGAGAGACTCTAGGCCTATGGGCTAAGGAAGATGCCCCAACTTTACAAAAAATACTTTAGATGACTATTCTGTCCAAGCTATTAGATGTCTCTGTCTATTCTCATAAGACTCTCAAAAGTTGCCTGCATCCTTCTCCCATTTCTCAGGTAATATTATATCTTTCTGAGGTCTTTGATGTAGTTAAAGACTAGATGGTTATAATTTCCTTAGTTGTGATAAGAGATAAGTTAGATATAAAAGCTTAAACACACAAATATAAGATAGATAGGATATCTTCTTTAATTTTGCCAAATACAAATAGACTAGATATTGTAACTGTAATTCTTACTTGATAACTGTTTTATTATATGTAATTTTACTATGTTAAAGTTAAAAATCTTCATTTAAAAAAACAGAAAAGTACAAGTGCTGTGGGATGTGCTGTATGTTGTGAATAAATAAACCGCTGATTGGCCAGTAGCCAGGCATGAAGGATAGGATAGGCGGGACAAACAGAGAAGAAAGGCTGGGAGGTGGAAGTCTGGGAAAGACGCAGCCTGCCATCCAGGGAGTAACATGTAAAGGCAGCAGGTAAAGCCACGGAACACATGGTGACATACAGATTAACAGAAATGGGCTGAGTTAAGTGTAAGAGCTAGTCAGTGGTAGGCCTGAGCTAATGGCCGAGCAGTTTAATTAATATAAGTTTCTGAGTGATTACTTTATACGTGGTTGCGGGGGTCCGTGGTGCTGGGGAGGACTAGAGAAAACTCCAGCTACAAAAAGGAGAGATCCATGATCAGACTGTCAAATCCTCACACCCTCACCAACACTTGACATCATCATCACTTCATCACACTTTTCACAATTTACATTTATATTTTGTGTGTATGCAAATGGGGGGGTGCTTCCATTAGCAGGCAGAAGTAACACAACAGCTTAGTGATGTTAAATCTCTCCTGCCAATATTTGGTCCTCTGTATCAAACCCAGGTTGCCATGCTTAATGGTAAGTTCTTCTACCCATTGAGCCATCTTGTCAACTCCCCTTTCTAAACTCTTAAATGTGATAAATTTTAGCAATACATAGAGAATAATAAATAACCAACTATGTGGCCAATATCAACTGATAGTCATAAGTGTTTTGTTAAAAGTATCTCACTTTAATCTTGATTTGTCTATTAAATTCCTTTAGATTCCCATAAAAACAATGATACAAAATCACATGGGTGGTCCTGGTGATGCACCCTAGGACTAGGTCATAAAGATTTGTGGTGTGGATCTGGGGACACACCATCTCTGGAGCATCCCACTCTGCCTCTCCTACTGTGCCTGGTGGCCTTGCCTGAGCCAGGCAGGAGTGTTCCTCTCTGGTTTCAGTAAGATGATGTAGCACTTGGGGATGAAGATGCCACCCAGAAGGCCAGCAGTAGAGGCCAGGATAGAGAAGATCTCTACAGCCACAGTGGACTTGCCCCTGGCACTGTGGTACAGGGGCAGGAAGGCTGTCCAGACACTGCAGAAGAGCAGCATGCTGAAGGTCAGGAATTTAGTCTCATTGAAGACATCTGGCAGGCCCCTGGCCAGAAAGGCCACAGAGAAGGTACCCACTGCCAATAATCCCAAGTAGCCCAGCACACAGAAGAAGATGGTGCCAGAACCCTCCTGGCACTGGATGACAATGTGCTGGGGCTCCGAGACCATATCCCTGTCTGGGAATGGTGGGGAGGTGGCCAGCCAGACTCCACAAAGAACAACCTGCATGAAGGAAGCAATAAGGACCACTGAGGTGGAAGCCCCAGGGCTCAGGCATACCC